TTAGATAAAAACTTAAGAACAGCAGTAGGGTGTGTTAACATTTTAAGAAACTGACAAAGTGTTTCCAAATATCCATAACCACATATACTCTGATTGCATACTTACAGAGCCTTGATATAGTCAATATTTTTATTTTGAGCCATTGTAATGCGTGTGTTGTGATCTATCACTTTAATTTTAATTAACATGTCATTAATTACTAATAATATTGAGCATCTTTTCAAGGGTTTAAGTGCCATCCATTTATTTTATTTGGTGAAGTTTCTGTTAAAATATTTATCCATTATAATTGTGTTGTTTACATCTTATTGATTTTCAAAAGTTCTTTACATATTTGAATTACAGGACTATTGGTGATTATATTTTGTATATATTTTCTCATTATGTGTCTTACCTTTCATTTTCCTAAAGTGTATTTTTATTTTTGTATTTAAAAAAATTCATTTTATTTTATTGATATCAGAGAGGAAGGGAGAGGGAGAGAGAGATAGAAACATCAATGATGATAGAGAATCATTGATCGGCTGCCTCCTGCATGCCCCCTACTGGGGATGGAGTCCAAAACCTGGGCATGTGCCCTTGACCGGAATGGAACCCGGGACCCTTCAGTCAGCAGGCCAATGCTCTATTTACTGAGCCAAACCAGCTGCTAGGGCCTAAAGTGTATTTTTAGAACAAACTTTTTCAGTTTGGATTGAAGTCCAATTTATTGATTTTGTGTATTATACTCCATGTTTTTGATGGCTTATTTAAGAGATTTTTTTGTCAAATCCAATTTCACTTCGATTTTGTCCTGCCCTTTCTTCTAGAAATGTTACAGTGTTAGTTCTTACATTTAATTCCTATGTCCATTTCTAGTTCATTTTTGCATATGGTGTAAAGTAAGGTTTAATGGTCATTTCTTTTAACTTATTGGTATCCAATTGTTCCAGCACCAGTTCCTGATAACATTATCCTTCCTCCGGTTAAATTAGTTTTGCACCTTGGTTGACAATCAATGGACTGTATCCATGTGGGTCTGTTTCTGGATTGTCTCTTCTGCTAAATTGATCTGTGTCCCTATACTTTGTGCCAATGCCCCACTTTCTTGAATTCTGTAGCTTCATGATAAGTCTTGCAACCTGGCAGTCAACGTAAGTACTAAAATGTCACTATTCATATTCAAACTAACTTTGAATATTCTAAGTCCTATGTACTAGTATTTCCATATAAATCTTAGAAATAGCTTGAGGGAGTGGCAGATTACCCAGTGCCCGGAAAAATGGAGCTCGAGGCCATGAGCAGATATACCACCCCCGTGAACCCAGCTGTCTTCCCCCATCTGACCGTGGTGCTGTTGGCCATTGGCATGTTCTTCACGGCCTGGTTCTTTGTTTATGGGGTCATGTCCACCAAGTACACTCGGGACATCTACAAGGAGCTCCTCATCTCCTTGGTGGCCTGTTCTTCATGGGCTTTGGGTCCTCTTCCTGCTGCTCTGGGTTGGCATCTAGGTATGAGCTCCCATGGGCTCCAACCAGGCAGCTGCTGAATCCCTGCTTTTGTAAATTATTTTTTTACTGTTGTGGGAGGTGTCCTGCCTGCTGCTCACAATAAAGGCAGATGTGTGACAAAAAGAAAAAAAAAAAGAAAGAAATAGCTTGAATTGTTGCCTTACCTATAGAGAAAGATAAAAATGGCATCTGATGTCTTAACAGAAAAAAAAAAGTGTCTTAGTCCATTTGTTTTGCTATAACAATATACCACAGACTGGGTGGTTTAGAAACAACAAATATTTATCACAGCTCTGAAAACTGGAAGTTGGAGATCAGGATTCTACTAAGGTTGGGTGAGACTTAGGTTGTGCAGACTTCTTCTATCCACACAAAATGGAAGGAGCTAAGAAACTCTCTGGAGAGCTTTTTTTTTTTTTTAAATATATTTTATTGATATTTTACAGAGAGGAAGGGAGAGAGATAGAGAGTTAGAAACATCGATCAGCTGCCTCCTGCACATCTCCCACTGGGGATGTGCCCGCAACCCAGGTACATGCCCTTGACCGGAATCGAACCCGGGACCCTTCAGTCCGCAGGCCGACGCTCTATCCACTGAACCAAACCAGTTTCGGCTGGAGAGCTTTTTATAAAAACAAACAAAGCTAATACAATTCATGCAAGCTCCACCCTCATGACCTAATCACCTTTCAAGGCCTAGCCTACTATCATTACCTTGGTAGTTAGAATTTTTTTTAACAAATACTTTTAAAATTTATTATTTTTATTGATTTCAGAGAGGAAGGGAGAAGTTGAGAGGGATAGAAACATCAATGATGAAAGAGACTCATAGATCGGCTGCCTTCTGCATGCCCCTCACTGGGGATTGAGCCCACAACCTCAGCATGTGCCCTGACTGGGAATCGAACCGTGACTTCCTGGTTCATAGGTTGATATTCAACCACTGAGCCACACCTGCCTGCAATAGAATTTTAACATGAATTTTGGGGCAGGGAAACTAACATAAACAGCATTTGAGGGGCGGTAAAATCTTTGAAAGCTGCACCAGTTAGTTGGACAGACTGGCCCTCTCTTCCTACATCAGGGACTATTTGGAAGACATGTCTTTAAAGAAATAATTTTGTTTGTCTTATTGGCTTCTATTTTTAAATAAATGTCACCTTAAATACTCTGCAGACAAGCAGAACAAACTCTGGCAAAATAAAAAGTAAGCCAAATATAAACACAAAAAGGAAAATGTGAAGATACTTCAAAATTATTCATATCTGGATATCCATAAGAATAACTGGTATCTATAAAAATACATTTTATTTTATTTATTTGTTTTTATTTAATCAATTGGGGTGACACTGGTTAACAAAATTATACAGGTTTCAGGTGCACAATTCTACAACACATCACCTGTACGTTGTATTGTGTGTTCACCACTCCAGCCTGCTCTCTATGAGTCTGTTCCTATTTTGCTTGGTAATTCATTTTGTTCATTAGATTCCACATGAGTGAAATCATATGGTAATTGTTTTCCTCTGATTGGCTTATTTCACTTAGCATAATGCTCTCCAGGCCCATCCGTGCTGTCAAAAAGGGTAGAAAGTTCCTTTTTTTTTTTTTTTTTTTACTGCCATGTAGTATTCCATTGTGTAAATGTACCACAGCTTGCTTATCTACTCATCTACTGATGGGCACTTGGGCTGCTTCTAGATTACAGTATCTATTTAACCATTTAAAAATTATTTCTTTGGTTTTTACAAGCAATAAAAACATTTATTTGCATGTATTTATTTATATGTAATCTATAATATTGTATCTAACATTATGTATTTACTAGAGGCCTGGTGCATGAAATTCGTGCATGGGAGGGGGGGGTCCCCCAGCCCGGCCTGCACCCTCTCTAATCTGGGACCCCTTGGGGGATGTCCGACTGCCTCTCACAATCTGGGACCACTGGCTCCTAACTGCCTGCCTGCCTGCCTGCCTGATCACCCCTAACCACCTCTGCCTACCTGCCTGACCGCCTCTAACTGCTCTCCTACTGGCCTGATTGCCCCTAACTGCGTCTGCCTTGCCACACACCCGGGACCCAGGATTCCCTCCTCTGGCCAGTCGCAGGCACCTGGGACCTGGGCTTCCCTCCCTCTGGCTGGCAGCAGGAACCAAGGACCCGGGCCGGCTTTGCCAGGGCTGGCTGCAGCTACAGGGGACCGTGGGCATGTGACTTCACCCAGGCCACAGCTGCAGGTGCCTGGGATCATGGGACGGGCGGCTTGTCCCTCTCCCAGGCCGAAGGCACAGGTGTAGCCGCTGGCACCCTGGACCATAGGGAGGGCGGCTTGTCCCTCTCCTAGGCCATAGGTGCAGGTGCAGCCGCTGGCTCCCGGGACTGTGGGGTGGGAGGCTTGTCCCTCTCCCAGGCCGCAGCCTGGCTGGTCCCCATTCTTCTCTCATGAGCTCATTTGTGCCTGGCTGGTCCCCATTCCTCTCTCCTCAATGTTGAGTGTCTGAGCTGTTACCGTGTGATGGCATGAGGGCGTGATGTCCATTTGCATATTAGCTCTTTATTATATAGGATATGTGTTACTATATAATTATATATATTTTATAATACATATTTTCTGATATATATTTATATAATATATGATAATATAATATGTAATATCTATATAATATGTAATTATGTACTATGTTCATATATTCTTTAATCCTTGTTCCACTCTTTAAGTGTGGAAAAAAATATATATAGTTTTTGCAGATAAACTGTCAGCAGTATGCATTCTCCAAACCCTAGAGTAAATGGGCCATGTGTTAAATTATTTGGAAAATAACACTAACTTATATAATATGTAATGTTATAAAACCTGAGATTGCCTGGCTATTTAAAACTGTACATTTTAGAGTACAAGAGAGTCCCTAATCTCAGGGTTTTTTTTTTTTAAATATATATTTTATTGCTTTTTTACAGAGAGGAAGGGAGAGAGATAGAGAGCTAGAAACATTGATGAGAGAGAAACATCGATTAGCTGCCCCCTGCACACCCCCCACTGGGGATGTGCCCACAACCAACGCACATGTCCTTGACTGGAATCGAACCCGGCACCCTTCAGTCCGCAGGCCGACGCTCTATCCACTGAGCCAAACCAGCCAGGGCCCTAATCTCAGGTTTTACCTGATGATTGACTCTCTCCTATAATATTGCCACAATAAAAACCACATTTGCACAACAATTTCAGCAAGGGAATGAATTCTATATTTTGTCTCAATATTAGTTAGGGTAAAACTTGTCTAACTAATAAATTTATTTTTATTCTTTGGAAATGTAGGCTCGCATTTTCATTTAGAGCTTGTCTGTTGATGGTAAATAAGAGGCAAAAAATGACAGCATCAATGATTATTTGGTTTCACAGATACTTCCTTTGAAATAAACTTTTTATTCTTAAATCCATGGAAATAAAATGAAGCTAGTCATTCATGGTAGTTTCCACATTTGATTTTTATTATATGTCATCTTTATTGTGTTTTACAGTAGGGCTATTGAAGGAAATAAAACATCAGAATGTTCAAAATGCTAATATATCCTACTTGACAAGCTGATCAATTTCCTAGATTTTCTAATGATGTAAACAGGAAGTTACAGAATATATATAAAGGGAAGCTCAGAGATTTGCTATCTAAGTTCATTACCAGGTGTTCCTCATCGTTCTCGAAGGTAAGAGTCTTATAACCGGTTGTTTTGCTGAACCTTAAGTTTCCACTTGAATCGAAATATACCAAAGTTAATCTGAATGCAATATTTCTTAGAGATCGTAGACAAACTGAACCCGCACATGAATGAGGGAAGATATTTTGCTTGAAAATTATATAATCGCTGGTGAAGATGACGTGCAAAGGAAAGCCGAAGTTGAAACCCGACCACTTCCAGGAGAATTTCCCCTTCTTGACAAGCATTTTCCCACATCTCATGCTGTATTCTTCAAGTTCTATTTCATTGGTGTATCGGGGCCCGATTTCCTGGCTTTGTCGTACTCTCAGCAAGGTAAACCACTGTTGCTTATAAGCTTGCGATAACCAATCTGAAGGTATTAGAGTATCGTGCTCAATAACTCTTGTGGAGGCCAGGTCACAGATGATATGCTGAAACCTCAAATTTTTAAACACCAATTGAAATGGTATGCCTCGTCTGGTTTCAAGGAAGGCCACGCTGGCAACACGTCCTCTGTGCCTGGAAAACCATTTGTTTGCATGGCCTAAAAGCTTTTTTACGGATCCTTTCCAAGCCGGGTTAAGACGAAGGAACATCCACTCTTTAAGTGTGGTGTACACATCTATTTCCTTTTGTATTACTAGTAAGTTAGCTGAAGAAATGAGCAGATTCATGAGCTCTATACTGAGTGCTTTGTAAAGTTCAACATTTGGATGCGTCATCAGATTGTGGAGAAGCCAGTTAAAGCATTTTGTCTTCAGAGACTCTAACTCATAGGCTTCTGCTGTTGCATAGTAGCCACAGACAGTTTTCACGTTAACTGCCTCCTTCATGGTCTCCTCACACTCTTCAATTAAGTCCTCTACTTGAAGCAGGCATGCCGTTGCCAAAATTCTTGGAATTTGAAGGGACTCCGTTAAGTCATATTCACCCCCGTACAAGGAACCTAGCACGAAGTTCAGGGACGCGACGTCAATATTGTGGTCCTTAATCTCTAGGTCGATAATATCTTTGTCAGAGTCATCGCAAGAATTTTTAAACAGAGTAGCAAAGTAGCCTGACTGACATAAATACATTTTGTGTAGACACCACACTCTCCCCAGAGCGCGGATTTTAATGTCACTGGTTTCCCCATTTAGAAATAAAGTATGGTAAGCATAATCAGATGTGACCTTCACTTTTTTACTTCGGCTTGTAGTGGCTTCTTGCTGGAGATTGTCTTCCGGGTCTAGAGGGTTGGGGCTGTTCTCAGCCTCTGGGTCCGGAGAGGGTCCTCTCCGCTTCCGTTTTCGGCCTGAGGATACATCTCCGGGGCCTACCTGGGCTTCTGGCTGATGCGGATCAGTTGTGCCTAATATACCGCCCCTCAGGAGGCGACTGCTCAAGGACCCCATAGAGGAAGACTATCAGATTCCCTAGGGGGGCTGTTTCAGACCTCCTTGCCATGGCATTCCTGCATCCTGTCACCTCAGCTTATGCCCAAGTCTCACGGAAACCCTGAGAGACGGTTCCAAACGTCACAGAGGAGGTCAGGCATTCGTTACTGTCTGCTGAACAGCTATTCCAAATACTTGAGTGTTCCTTGATATTTTCCAGTCTCCTATTCACTAAGAGACCATATGAACATATTGTAGCCAATGGGATGAGGGTAAAATATTAGCTACATTCAGATGAGCCCCATAAAATGCCACACAATCTTTTAGCTCGCTACTTCCCTACTGTGGTTACACACAGGCCACGTGCTTTGGGCGGCCTAACTAGAAGACTGACGCAGAGCACATAGTTGAGTCATGCCTTGGAGGGATCCCTGAAGAGAAGTTCATAACCAGCACTGGAATTTACTATCAATGAAAAATTAACTTTGTCGTTGAGACTGTGACCTCTGTTGTGGGAGTGAATGCTAATTGCTGTACTGATAGTCACCTGGAGATGAAACAAAGATGAATCAGACAGAGCCTGCACAAAGATATTTTGTCTTTGGGGACACACAAGATACATGCTATGGTACTTTGAGGATAGCTAACAATTCTTTGGTGCTCTTTTCACTGAGAGATGCCATCACTGCTGTGCCCTGACTAAATGCCTGTTCCACAAAATCATGAAACATAAACCAGTTGATTTTTTTTCCAAAAATATATTTTATTGATTTTTTACAGAGAGGAAGGGAGAGAGATAGAGAGTTAGAAACATCGATGAGAGAGAAACATCGATCAGCTGCCTCCTGCACATCTCCCACTGGGGATGTGCCCCCAACCAAGGTACATGCCCTTGACCGGAATCGAACCCGGGACCCTTGAGTCCGCAGGCCGACGCTCTATCCACTGAGCCAAACCGGTTTCGGCTAAAAACATTTTTTAAATGAACAGTGTGGCACCTCATTATTTTATTTGCTTTTGATTACTGGAGGGGAGAAGAGATTTTTAAAAATTTCCAGTAAGGTACATCTTCATATTCTTTGCTGATTTCTAAAAGGTTTACATATATTTTTGCCTCATGGATTGCTAAATCCTTCTTTTAACAATTTTCATTTACCATTTAATTTTTATGGAGTTCTTTTCTGTACAGATATTTTCATTCTTTTTTTAAAAATATACTTTTGTTTGTTTTAAAAATATGTTTATTGATTTCAGAGAGGAAGGGAGAGATAGAAACATCAATGATGAGAGAATCATTAATTGGCTGCCTCCTGCACGCCCCCTACTGGGGATCAAGTCTGGATATGTGTCCTTGATCGGACCCTTCGGTCTGCAGGCTGATGCTCTATCCACTGAGCTAAATCAGCTAGGGCAACATTTCCATTCTTAAGAGGCCAAATCAGATTTTCCAAATATGGGTTTTTGCAACTTTGCTTATAGAAAGCCTTGCCTTTTCTGACATTAGATAAATATTGTTCTATATTTCCTTGCTGAACTTTCATGGTATTATGTAATCATTTTAAACATCTAAATATTAAAGTTTAAAGCATTTTGATATTCTTATACTTTGAAGTGACAGAAGCAATATACAAAAGAATATGTACTTTATAAAACAAATTTTTACAAACAGAAAAATACACATAAATGTGTATGCATGCACAGAGATACTGCAAGTAATAGACAAGATCACACCATACGTGCCCGATCGGCATGTCTCAGTGGTTGAGCTTTGAACCAGGAAGTCATGGTTTGATTCCCCGTCAGGGCACATGCCCAGGTTTCAGGCTCGATCCCCAGTGTGGGGCATGCAGGAGGCAGCCGATCAATGATTCTGTTATCATTGATGTTTCTAACTCTCTGTCTCTTCCCTTCCCTTCCACTCTAAAAAAAAAAAAAAAAAAAAAGGTGGCAGAGCAGGGAGCCAGAGATCTGGGCCCTTCATACCATCCCTGATGCAATTATAACCAACTTGCCTGAAACTCACCCTACCACTGAAATGCCTGTTCTATAGAGTCTATAGTATAGACTATAAGTTAGCTTGAATCAAGGTTTTCTTTTGTTTAAAGCTAAAAGCATCTTAACTGATACAATAAACCTTGTAGATTTTTCTGAAGGAGGCAGAAAAATCTGGATCATAGGATAGACACTCTGCCACTTCCAAGCTGTGTCATCTCAGACAAAATATTAATCCTCTCTGTGCCTCAGTTTCCTCATATGTGAAGTGAGAACAATACCTGTACTTCACAGAGTTGCTCTGGAAAGCTTTAAATAAAGTAATGTAAGTCAAGCTCTTTATTACTATCATAAAGGTATCTTGGAGACAGAAAACAACATAAAGTCAGTTATGTATCTGTATGCTCTCCTATTTCCAAGTTTTTACCCTGATGCCATGTCTCTCCCATGCAGCAACCCCCCTCACCTGCTCTCAGCTCCTCCCTTCATAAGCATAAGGATATCCTTTTACATAATTACAGTGCAAGCATAAATTCAGAAATTTCCACATGGACACATTATCTGATAGAAAGCCCATATTCATATTCTGCCATTTGTCCTAATGCCCTTTGTTTCACCTTTTCCCCCCCAATCCAAGATCACACATTGCATTGAGTTATCGTGTGTTTTTATCTACCTTTCATCTGGAACAGTTTCTCAGCCTTTCCTTGATCTAATTCAGTGGTTCCCAAACTTATTTGGCCTACCGCCCCCTTTCCAGAAAAAATATTACTCAGCCCCTGGAAATTAATTTTTTTAAAATTTTAATAGCAGTTACTCATCGCCCCCAAATGCACCTGTGGCCATCACCGCCCCTCTGGATCGCTGCAGCGTCCACCGGGGGGTGGTAGCGCCCACTTTGGGAATCACTGATCTAATTCATTAACTTGTTTTAAAGCATATGGGCCCTTTATTTTGTAAAGTGTCCATAATTTTTTTTTTTACTGCTTTCAGAGAGAGGAAGGCAGGGGGGAGAGAGAGATAGAAACATCAATGATGAAAGAGAACCACTGATGGGCTGCCGGCTGCATGCCCACCACTGGGGATTGAGCCCACAATCCAGGCATGTGCCCCGACCAGGAATTGAACTGCGACCTCCTAGTTCATAGGTCGACGCTCAACCACTGAGCCACACTGGCTGGGCAAGTGTCCACAAATTTGGTTTTATCTGACCCCCTTCCCTCCCTCCCTCCCTCCCTTCATATCTTCCTCTTTTGTTGTTGTTTCTTTGTTTACAAAACCAAAAGGGAATTTATTGAAAGGAGATGAGAGCTCACAGAACTACAGGCAAAGTTGGAGTAGAGAAAAACCATCAGGGCAGTCCTGGTGGAGGAAATGAATGGGCTCCCCATGGAGCTCTGTGGAGGACATGACAGCTTCTCTGTTTTTCTCTGGTGACTTTCAGGAATGCAGTGGGCAGTGGGACTGGCTTTCTGGCCATGCAACTGTGCTTTGAAGACCGCCCTGCTTGGTTCAATGCTCTGCTGTTGCCATTTTGAAATTCTTAATAATTGTAGACCCTGCATTTTCATTTTATTAAGAGTTTAGTTTGTTTTAGAGCAATTTTAGGTTCACAGCAAAACCGAAGGGAAGGTGCAGAGATTTCCCATGTATGGCCTGTCCCCACATACAGAACTTCCCCCCAAGTGATACATTTTTGGAAGGAACATTACAGAAGTAATGATATATCCTTCTCCTTCTTGGTGCATTTCACCAGAAGACACATGGTATTAATTTGTCTTATTATTGTTCATGTCCATTTTTTTAAATCCCCACCTGAGGATATTTTTTCATTGATTTTAGGGAGGGGGAAGGGAGAGGGGGGAGGGGGGAAATACTGATGTGAAAACTATTGGTTGCCTTCCGTGCCTGCCCCTACCATGGGTTAAACCAGCAACCTGGTTATGTGCTCTGACCCAGAATCGAACCTGTGACCCTTTGGTGCACGGGACATTATTCTAACCAACGGAGCCACACTGGCCAGGCTGTTCGTATTACTTTTTTTGTTCATATTAATTTTGATCATTTAATTAAGGTGGTGTCTCCTATATATCTCCACTTGAAAATCAACATCCCATACTTTTTTTTAAAGAATATTTTTGTTATTGATTTCAGAGAGGAAGGGAGAGATAAAAACATCAATGATGAGAGAGAATCATGTGCCCCTGGCTGGAATCAAACCTGGGACCCCCCAGTCTGCAGGCGAATGCTCCATCCACTGAGCCAAACCAGCTAGGGCAACATCACATACTCTTGTAATTAATAAGTATTTACAAGAGATATTTTAAGACTGAAACAACTTTTCAGTTTCCTAAAAATTGTTCACCAACTTTTAGCCAATGGTTTTAGCATCCATTGATGAGTCATGTCTGAATTAAATATTATTTAGATAGTTGCAAGATGATGACTTTCTAAATCTCTTATGTATTTCTAACCCTACATTATTTTGTTATATCACATATAAATATAAAATAATTTTATATATTTTTATTTATATGTATTT